CGAACATCACATGGTATGAGGTTTCTTCCTCTTCCATGCAGAGTCTACACGTAGTGGGATCATTGTGTAATCCCATCACATGAAGGTGTTTCAGGAAACAGTGCCCCATTAGTAATCCCACAATGGTGGATATCTGAGGCCTTGCGAATTGTAGTGCCTCAGTAGCCATGCGTGTGTTTGGTCCCCTTAGCATGAGCTTACTGATTTTGTGCCCTCTTTATCTGTTGCCAGTGAATTTGGTGTTTTTTGTGGTTATCCACCTGTTCACTGCCTGTCGAGCAGAGGTTTTGCTGATCCCAAATACAGGTTCGGGTCCTGTGAATGGTAAATCTGATCCCTCTTTAGCGAATTTATAAGCCTCTTCATTTCCTTGGATACCTTTGTGCCCTAGTACACATGCTAGTTTTACCTTGTTGTGGGTTGCCAGATCATTTAGTATTCCAAGGCAGTCCCAGACAAGCTTTGACTGGATTCTGTTTGAATCAAGAGCCTTTAAGGTAGCTTCTCTATCTGAGAAAATTATAATGTTTTGTTTTTTTCTTAAATTCTCTCGAACACACAATTCGATTGCAAGTATTTCAGCCTGAAATACAGTGGTATGTTTCCCCAATGTGACGATAATGTCGCATTTGGGTTTAACTCCATGTACGCCAGAGCCTATTCCCTTGTTAGTTTTAGATCCATCCGTATACGATACGAGACCGCTAAGCAAGTATTTATCTATCTCCTTATTTACCTCGCTCCAGTTGCAATTGACCTGGAAGAGTTTTGTGAAGGTTAGGAGGAGTGTCATGTGATCTGATCCCATATTTAATATATAATCATTTACTTCATGTGTTATTCTAGTATGTTTTATATGTCCCAGTGGGTTCCAGTTGTATGCATTCATTCTGGCCTTCTTATTTATGACTAGGTCAACGGGTGGAAGGTTTAGAATGATTTCCATAGAGGCTGTCGGTGTACTTCTCAGTGCTCCTGTAATACAAAGGCATGCCAGCCTCTGAACTCCTGAGAGGGTATTGAGGGCTGTTTTCTGGTTTACTTTTGGCCACCACACAACCGCTCCATAAGTTATCATTGGTCTTGTTATTGTCAAATATAGCCAGTGGGCTATTTTTAGTTTTAATCCCCATGTACCCGTCTCCCTACAATGAGAGACATTTTGCATTTTTTTTTGGTCACTTTTTGTAAGTGTTGGTTCCAAGTAAGTTTGCTATCTAGGATTAGACCCAGATATTTTACTTGGTTCGTTTTGTTTAGCCTTTTTCCAAATAGAGTCGGAGTTTCTAAAACCTCCAACCTTGTTTTCCGAGTAAAGGTTATGAGTTGTGCCTTGTTAGGGTTTCCCAAGAGGTTTTCTCTAACGCACCACATTTCTGTCAGCCTAAGAACTCTTTGCAAGAGTTCAAAGACTGTGGTTTGGTGTTTCCCTCGGATAAGGATGACTATGTCATCGGCACAACAAAAATAGAAATGCAAAACACTGATATACAAGCAAAGGCACCTTAGACAAAAATTTTTGTATCTAATGTTATTTCACCTTTATCATCCTATGAAAGTGTTTGTAAATGGAATCACAATGTTTTTAATTTCGACAAAACACCATCCGTAAAACACTTAAATAATTACCCAATGTGGAATATAAAAAACAAATTTAGAACCAGCCAAATCTTGATTGAAACTTCATAGCCAGATTTTCTGGATTTACATTATTTTGATGAACTTATTTTGGGGTCGCAGGAAAAATATTATATATCACTGTTATAAACTATACTTCAAACTTCATTTAAAATTTCTGGTATGTTGTATGTAATCTTTTTTTGATATCTTAAATGTGATTCACTTGTGGGTCAGTACCACCCAAAATTTGGAATTTATCTCCTTTTAAGTATCATTCGGTATTAAATAGAAACTTTTATAATTATTAATGGTAACTGATATACCGTAACTACCTTTCAATGTTTCATTATTGCGAGCTTATCAGCGCTTGAATTATAGACAATTATTAAATAAAAAGACAAAGTCGTGTTAGTAACTTTCAGCCGCAAACCGTATAATATATAAATTTCAAATAATTATAGGCAATTATAATTTTCTCAATGCGTTTTCTAGTCTACCACATGCGACAATATGACAAATAACTGAAACGCGGTGAAAACAATATTAATCTGAAAGCGTTCTACTTTAGCCCTGGTTAACTGCTCGTATTAAGACATTAAAAAGAATAATTGCGTTGAAATTATAGTCATTTTAGTCGTTTTATACACTGAAAATCCTACGTTTCTTTAAAAAAGAAGTCCGACACGATTATTATAGAAATATGAACGTTCTAAAGTAAAAATATCGAGTCTATCTAAGGAGGGTTAGAGGGTTTCCAATTCCCCTTAATTCATCTTAATAATAATAATAATAATTTGTTTAAAATAAATTTATTTAGCTGTGATTTGACATTGACGAAGAATATAACACAAGAAGTACACTTTTGCCAAGTTGTGTAATATTTCTAAAACAATTGGAGTATGTTTTTTATATATTCAAAATGAGGCATACGTTGTAATTTCAACAAATTATTGATACCTAAGCAATTTGGTAAATTAATATTCTAACAATTTTAATTTGACATTTTAGAAACCATAATTTTGTATTTTTTAAGAAGAGTACAAAATTTAAATGTCCAAAAAGTAACATAAATGTCACACGTATAATTCTACTTAAAGTAAGACCTAATACATTGGTGTCTTTCAATAAAATAAAATATCTATCGACATTTTTGAAAACAAAAATTAAGTGTTTATCAATTTTTTTTTAATTATATATGTTTATATGTTTTGTAACCAAATTTTAATAAGATTCTATTTTGGTAGCAATTATTGCAGCAATGTTTTTGTTTATTTCATGTGTCTTCATCATACTTAGACATTTGTTGCGGGCTTTCCGGAATATGGAACGTGGTAGTCTAACAAAAGGGCCATGTGTTTCCGGTAATCTAATCTGCACCTATTCTGGGCTCTTAAAATTATACGATGTACAACGTGTGTCGCGCAAATACAACAGCATGGTTTTTGTTATAAAATAAAACAGCTGTGTATCTTCTGCATGCTGCACACAAGCTTATTTTAAGCAATGGAATTTGATTTTTATAGCCAAATAATCTTAAATCCGAGAATTAACTAAATGTAGTTTTTTAATCCAAGAGAAAATTAATTATAGAAGTGGAATGATAAAATAGTTTTTTTTGTAATAAAAATAGTCAAATATATTTTTTTGTTTAAAATACCTCAAAGTATTTTTGTTGTTAATGTAATTGTAGTTGATTAGAATGGAATACTTATTTATTTATCTCAAAATAAATAAGGAGACACACACCGAACAAATCCTAAACATATTTTTTTGTACACAAATAAATAATTTTTTGAAATAATTTTTTAGGTGTCCAAACTTGATGTGTTTACTTACCTATTTATACGTTCTATTCCAATTTTAAAATATCTTTTATTCAAATAAGACTCCAAGACGAATTTTCAGGGGGGGGGGGGGCATTGTCTTTAGATATTCCCTTTTTAGCATATTTTTTTGAATTAAAGGCTCATAAATCGTAAGAATTTTCATTTCCCATAGCCCCCCTGGAGCCACCCTTGAATTCAAAGAGGGTATTTAGTTTATTTTTGAATTTACCAATGCGTCCTCGTATGCATAGAAACCAGACTGTCTGTATAATGTAATTAAGATTAAGCTTGTTAGGTAAAGGTTTCCCCACATATCGGATGTTAGTTAAAAATCAGAATATGACACTACTTCTGTTTAATACCACTTTGTTCGGCTATTAAATATTCGATATCGGATACTCAAGGTACAATCTTAATACTTATAGATCTTTTTATGGGGAATCTTAGAAGGTTTGAAAGATAATTTTTCATCTGTTTTCATGCTCTAACTAACGCTGATTCAGTTTAACCTACAATGTATGCCTGGTTATAACAAACGCATGATATAATATACAGTATTTTCTAGGTACATTAATTTTTTTCAGTATGAATGTGCATGTTTGATTAAATATCTATGTGTATCAAAAAAAAGTATAAAAAATAATCTTATTTTCCAGGGTAAATGAATATAATTGCACAATAGAACGTAGTTTTTAGTTTTAATAAACTTTAATAGACTTCGGGTCCGACCTAGCCCTCGGCGGCCCTGCCTATCTGAGAAGTATCTAATAAAAACCTTCTGATGCTTTAAAACACTCCAATAAGACAGAAGTTTTAATAGATTTAGGAAGCAGCTGCACCAATGAGATTTTATTCCGGTTATCATTCATGTAGGTGACTCTTCACTAGTTTCTTGGCAACTTCCTCGTGACTCACATACTTTGATTTTCTTCGTGACTTGACTACATCCGTGAAAGATCATTCAGCACAGTTACAGCCGTATGCATAGTCGATCGCCAGCGACTCGCAAGAGATTCATTTCGGCGTATCGCCAGCGATTCGCTGGCGATCCGCCGGCGAAAGCCCAAAAACTGGCGACTCGCCGGAGATTGTACCGAAATGTCATTTCACGCAAGTTTTCATGTTCTTTTATAGGGAAAAATTTGATATTCGTTCATTATTTTTTGAGTTTTAAGAAATGAATCATGAATAAAATGCGAGAGATATCGGTGATAATCCCTATAAAAGAAAATAAAAACTTGCGTGAAATGACATTCCGGTGACAATCTCCGGCGAGTCGCCAGCTTTTTGGGATTTCGCCGGCGATACGCCAAAATGAATCTCTGGCGAGTCGCTGGCGATCGACTATGCATACGGCTGTTAGAATTATGGAACACCAATATGTCATTCAAAGGTATACCAGTTGTTATGCCCCAACTCCATAGTTATTCCACCTAGATCTCTTTAGAAACTATCAAGCTATTTGTCTATTGTATTATCTTTGTATTCCACCTTTACTTCTAGGAAAAATACACTTTCTGCGGTTGGTACAGGTCAAATAACCGTATTTAATAACATTACTTTGAAGTTTACAATGTCATTATTATTTTACACTTTCTTACATACAATTGCGTTGGTAATAGCCCAAAAAGAAGCGGCCCATTGCGAAAAGGGAGAAGGAGGAGGATCGATCCACAGCAATGGTATCGGAACGGTCCTCTTCACAGCCGCAGATGAATTTAAACAGTGTTGGTCTCCAGACGAAATAGCTATCCTTACAGCCAGGATGATAATGGAAGATCTTTTACCCGATGTAGCCATCTTGAATATCGACAGTAACGGTTACGCTGATGACATCGTCGGATATTTCAGGTTACTTATCGAAGTAGTTAAGAAAAGTACTCACGGTAGAAAGAAACGTATTACTTTATTAGTCTTAACTGATATACTCGGAGGATATCTTCAATTTGCTGTGCTACCAATAGCTAGACGAGCATTCTACGCAGGTCTTATTGATTACAACAGCATGGAGAAACTAATTCAACTCTTTGAAGAATTAAAATGGTTCCTCAGAACCAACGGACAAGGTTGGTCGAAGCCGTTAGATAGCACGCCGGAGTTCGATATACAGCAAATCGATTTCGAAACTGAATCGCCAAAAGTCAAAAATTGTTGTAATCAATTAATATTTTACGAATACGAACACAAAATCAAACAAGACAACAGAACAATCACTAAATCAGATATCGCTTATCCCATGCCATTTTTTGACACCAGCGTGAAACCCTCGTCCATTGCGGTACCGTTCAAAAAGTTTGCTATGAGGAATATAGAATCCAGAAGGGCTTCTTATTTTTTATTAAAGTTCTTCATCACCGCCTGGCAGTGCTTGAACGAAAGAGGTTCTACTAAAGAAGCGAAATTAAAGTTTCAAAATAGTTTATTTACTTGGCTGCAAACAAATGTAATACCCAAGATCAAGGACGATAAGTTCTATTCTGCCTTCGGGGGAGTTTTAAGAGTTGTGGAAACTTTAAAAGCTATGGGAGCCGTTACTCACGTGGAAAGTACTTGCGCGCCAGAGGGCGAGGAAGAAGTGGCGGTGCCAGAGTCTGGTTCGCGCAGAAGTTTTACCTCAACCGTCGTTTTAGTAGTAATGTTGATAATAATTTTCATTTGGTTCATCATTGGTACGGCTTTTGTTTGCTTCAGAATGAAAAAAGGGAAGAAAGGCGACGATTCGCCATCTAAGAAATCAGATTTTACAAGCACAGAGGAAAGTAAATGGTCCGCTGGATCCAAAGGTAGATCAGACAGTAACAAAACAGACACTTCCATTGGCATATGCAGATGTTCTAACGGTAGCAGAACTTCTCCGTACAGTAGTTCGCTTACTAGCGAATATGAAATTGATGACAAAAATAAAAAGAAGAGATCGAAACAATCAAAAGAAAAATCAGTTACAATATGCTATCCTCCATTCATGGCTCCTTATATGGATGACAAACCTGCTACTATAGAAACAAAAGCAACTATGAAGATGCTACCGTCAATAGAAGAAATGACCGAAATAACCTCTCATAGAAACGATACCCGCAGTCATCAGCGAACACGTGATGATTCGGCACCTTCGAGGACATCAGAAGAAAAACGAGATTTCAGAAAATCTAAGAAAGACTACGACACCGCCATTCCATGTAAGCATTACCCACAAACTTCAGGAACAAGTTCATCTAGAAGACCGTCCTGGGAGAGCGTCCGGAAGAAAATCAAACCTGGAACGAAAATAGACGAATGCTGGTGTGATATACTTGAGGAAGAAACCGAAGAAATGGGATCCGACGAATTAAAAAAATCGACAAGAAAATCGAGCGTCGAATTTGCGACGCAAAATGTACCCGAAAGAGGTAAAGGAAAACGAGGACAAAAAGAAAGGGGGGCGAAATCTGGAGATTCGTCTCGGCAAATGGCGACAACTATGGAGGATTCTAATGTTATAGGCAAGCAAAATTATTACGATAATTTGTTTTATACAGGGTGAGTCACAAGGGCGGCTCCAGATTGAAGAGAGTGAGCATATTTAGCGTATTAATTTTAAATAATAATTTAAGTTTTTTTAACTTACTAAACCAGACGGCTGCATTTATCAGAGGTAGATTAGCTTACCTGAAAACTAAGTATACATTTTTTATGTTTTTAAAAAATCCAAAGAGTTAATAATTTTTGTTCACTACAGTTTTTAAAATATACAAATTTTTATTAGTTTTCGCACTTAAAATATCAAATTGAAATGTCAAATTTAAACGACAAATTTTGACTGCAAAATAATGTAGAAAATATTTTACTAAAAACTAAGAAAACTAAAAATTGAATTCAGAAAAACCTAAAAAGTCAATATCATCTATTTCATAAAGATAAGGTTAAAAGAAGAAATTGTTTTTTTATACATAATAACATAAGTGTACCTAGTCAATCTCTTGACTGTTGTCTAATATGAAAGAATTCACATTTTTTTCTAAAGTAGGTTTTGAAAAAATTCACGCATGTCAGAGAGTACACTTCTTTTTTTTTAAGTGCCAATTTGGATTAAATTCAGAGCCGTGCGTAGTTATCGCAAACATGAATCGTATCAAAGTACATGTATTTATAGGTCACGGCCTACTTTAAAACCATTTTTTGTGGTTTATTCTTCATATTAAACCTGAACTATTATACAGAATGTTAGAATATTCGACTGACAACGCTCTAGCCTAGAGCTTTCGTTAATTTTGATATAGGAACATAGTTACCGAAAGACAAAGTGTTAAAAGCTTTAAATCAAAATTCAAAATTTTACATAAATCAAAAACGTTCTTATATATTTTTTTTCAAATTTAATCTACCAAGATATTGTCAAATACACGAATTAACAATTTGACATGTGACTACTAGATTAGAATTTAAAAATATTGAGTCGATTTTTGTTTAGAAACAAATTTCTACAACAACGTTCAGTTTAGCTCCATAAAAGGTTATTACTTTTTTTAACTAAAAACAACAGAATTTAAAATTAAAAGAAATTAAAAATTTTAAAAAATTTGTTACAGTGGCATAAAAAATAAAGGGAAAAGTTGTCACTAACCCTGGTAGCGCGCTACTAGTTAAATTTTTCAAAAGTTAGTTTATGTCAAAATATTAATTTCTTAAAGATCATATTGGTCACCAAATTTGAAAAAATATTCAAAGGCGGTTTGGATTTATGGCAAATTTTGAATGCTATTTAATACCCTTCATCAAATAACGAGGGTTCTCTGGGGTAGAGCGTTGTCGTTCGAATATAGGTATCTACACTATAAAAATTTCTTTGAGCCATTTTTTATTTGATAGATTCTCAAAAAGAAGACCGGACCGTCCCGTCACAAATGACAACTGGTGACGAGGATTCCCCTAGATTCCCTCAGACCATCCAGGAATCGACAGACGAAACTTCCGGCGTTACAGACAAAGAAGGAACGTCGCCTCACGCTTACGCTTGTCATTCCAGTTTGACAGGAACCTACGCTAAGGAAAAAATAAGGGGCGGAAAGCCCTACATATTCGGATACGATTTTCAGTCTTCGACTTCGTCCGATTTGAGCGACGAAGAGACGACGGATAATAAAACGCCTACATCTAAGTAATATTATTTATATCGGTATATGGTATATGTATAGTGAAAACAGTATAAATCTTTCAATAAAGCTAGCTATAAAATATCATGGTTGTTGTTAAAAAGCTACTACATATTTTTAACTGTAAATCTGAATATGCCTCTGTGCACGCGCGCTTGCCTAAAAACAAAACCTTTTATCTCATTGGAAAAAACAACGTAAGCAAATGATTTGATTTAAAGATTACATATTTTATTTTGTTCGCTCTTAATCTCTCCGTTGAACCTGACTCATCGCCACGAGTCAAAAGATTGGTGTGTTATGCTGATAAAATAGTTTCTAAAAATAAAAATATATAGTTTTACAAGAGTTGTAAAAACTACATGTAAAACTATAAATAAAAAATTCCAATAAGATTTTTTTTGCAACAAATTGAAAATTCTTAAAAAGCCTTCTTCAAGAGTCAGCTGTTTTCATCCCGACTTTAGAGTTCATCAGGTAACTAATGTACAACGCAAAAAAAAAGTGCGATTCAAGAATCAGCGCTTACAAGTTAATACTTTCTCTCCAGTCGTTAATTTTTGTAAATTTATCCCCAAACACGCACCCCGAGCTGGATTCGAACCAGCCATATCTATTTTTCCGTGTTAGTGCCTTAACCACTCGACTATCATAGGGACAAGCGGGGCTGAATATCTACTCTTGTATCCAAGGGAGTAAAAATATTTAGGGTAAAATAAGACAGAAATACAAATTATGTATATTGAAGAAAAAGAAAAAAACGGTATTCCCTTTCTTCGAATTCAAGAATAGCTACCCTGCGTTCGAAACATCAACTTGGTATACATGGTATACAAAAGGAATGGGCTTTAATTTTTTTGTAATAAGGTATGACTTGATAGAAGTTGTATCTATTTAGTACGTATGTATCTAGATTCAAAAGCAAAAAATTTAAAAAACTATGAAAACAATAACTACCACGACTAACAAAATTGGTTTTCTCGTACAAATAATCAATGTGTTGTCCACTTCAAAAATTAAGTCATGAATAAGAAATTTTACAAAATGCTTTCCTACTTCTACAAATTCAATTTTTAAAAATGTATAAATTTATGCATTATGCTGTTCCTCTTGTTGAAAGACCAATTATAAAATATAAATGAAAACGTACTAATACTTTCTTTTAAATAACCATACAATTACCTACCTAGATTCTTTACGTTGATACATGAACCTGTTGGCAATTCTTCACTTCATATTTATTAGCATTTTGCTTAATTCAATTAAATTTAAATAACAAAGTAAGTGAAAGTGAGAAATCCAGCAAATTTATGGATATTACCGTAAACGTAGAAAATGTCCACACATCTTCTAGTCGTTCTACACCAATTAACGTCAAACTACACCAATTATTTAAATCTAATATGCAATCTGCGCGAAATTATAACCATTTGCTATCATAATAAACCATTTTATGCACTACTTACACGTGACTGAAATAACAATTCAACAGATGGATCGTTTAGTCATTATCAATCTGATTTAATACAAGGTTTGATAGTTTTTGGCATGACGCTAGTTCTGGCGTCAAAAAAAAAATAGTAAATATATAATATTGGGGTAGCGTACTTACACCCGTATATCATATCTAAGATGCATAGGAAATAAGTCAAGAAATTTTAATCAAAACAATGTCCGTCTTTTAATTAAAAACGCCATAACTCAATCAAAATGAGGATCAGCGGGGTGTAACAAAATATAGGTCATAAATTATACCAGATATTTTGTAGTCAAAAGTAGGTATACCTTAAATTGCTAAGAAAATAGGGGGATAAATTCGATTTTAAATCGTAGAGGTCTGCATCTAACATTAAAAAGTTTAGAAAATATAATTTTTCTACAACCACATAGACTACAAAACGAAAAAGTTCAACTGAACGAATATATTTCATATTCATTCTACCTAGTAAGAACACTGCACAAATATGATATCCACCAATCACAGTTCATATCGCTGTCCCATTTCAAAAAATTTAGGATTTGAGATAAGAATGTATTCTTATAGCAAGTAGGGAAAGATCTATACAGTTCAACACGTATCTCAAAAGATTTTATTTCTAAATTTTCTTCTACATATTAGTGTTGAACTGTACAGATCATGCCCTTCTTGCTAAGAATACATTCATATTTCAAATTCTAAAACTTTTGGGATGTTATACTTTGAACTGGGACAGCGATATTTGGTCGCCAGACAACTACTATTTTTGTAAATTTTAAATAAGTGACAATTCTCTCAAACTAAGTGTCAGTATATTTTTTAGTTATTGAGATTAAATATAATTAAAAATGAGTGATTCTTGTGAAGAAACGATAAATAATAACATTTCACGAGATATTTAACTGTATTTACATAAAATCATAAATCTATATATAAATAGACAAATACAAAATGGTTCAGTACAAATTTCTCTTCTGTTTGTGAACCGATTTTCTTTTTTAAATTTTGTTTAGTAGCTATTGACAAGCTTTAGTGTTAGCTGCCAATAAAAAAAATTGGAAAAAGTTAGTTTTTTTCCCAAACTTCGATATATGAAATCCATTGATCCACAACTATGAATTATGATTTGACTAATAAAATTAGCCTAAAACGAACAGGACACCCTTTAATTTCGAACCAACATCTACAATATTACATGGACGGATAGAGAATCGTGAAAAACGTAAAAAAAACTTCCCCCCTCTTCCTCTGCCACGTCTAAATGGTAAGGGTTAGAAAATAACTACTAGAGCATCTAAAATTATTTTCATTCGGGTACGATGTATTGGATTTAAGGCGAAAAAAGTATTTTTTTTTTTTTCGAAAATCGTACATTTTTGAGTTCTACAGATTTTCGATCCACCTGCTCCTCTACTCTCTCCACCTACGGCTGTACAGAGGACTAAAATGTAAGCTCACATACAGGAGTTCCTCGAGTTGGAGAAAGGGGCCAACTTGGCCCAGTACTGGAAAAACCTAGCTTCGGCGTACCTATATTGGCCCATGTTTGGATCAGGTCTGGGTACTTAACCGTGGCCATGCCTGTGGTTTTCCATGCTTAAGCCAAGACTAGGAGACCCAGCTTTGGCCATGCCTCTGCCTCGAGCCTCGGCCTTACCTGTGGTTGAATTATAGGATAGTTTCATTGAAGAAATTAATAATTATGAAATAAGAACAGGCTGTTCTTGCTTTTTAACATGGTTCTCACTGGCACCAATCCACCGAAAAACATTTTTCAAAATAGTTTTTAGTTGTACCACATTCCTCTGTCCTCTGAGGTGTCCCACCTATAATTAAAAAAAAACTAATTTTATAATTACAAAACCTAAAAGTTTGTCCAGCTATGAGGTCGTATCCACAAAATGAATATTTTTAGTAAATGTGGGTAAGTAGATAATTAGGTTCTTTTAGACTTCGCAAATTAGTTTTGCATATTTTACTAACCTTTTTTTAACAAAAAGTAGAACGCAACCCTAACTATACGATGCAAACTTGTTAGAAAATGGACAATATGATGAACACGTGCTAATGCCAATTTGCCAGATTCTCTATTAATGCGTTGTGTCTCTGACTCCCGAATAATAAGTATCACATCTCAACATGTACCAGTCATATATCTACCGTACCAGTGCAGTGGTTGCATTTTAAAATAAGTTACAGCTGGAAACACCATGCAGTGAAATTGTACTCGCTAAAAAGGTAGCGCTATTTAAAAACTACTGGATATTAAATTTAACAAAACTAATGTTCATAGATTTAATACCTTTTAAAGATGATCAAAATAAATACTTTTAGAGGGTTTCCAAAAAAATCAAGTAATTATTGGTATTTCTTGAAAATTTCACAAAAATCGGACATAAAATAAAGGCTCCGAAGGAATTTGAAATTTTCAAGGAGTTCAGCTTCCTCTTAGATAAATTCGAGTATATTTGATTAATTTTGTTTATGTCCTGGGTGTGTTTCGCATAATATTAATTATTTAACTATGAATGATGAATAAAATAAACGAATGATGTATCAAACAATATTTTGATTAAGATAAGACGTGCTTGCCTTGCATTTTTCGAATGCGTGACCACACTGAACACAAAAGAATACCAAGATCGAGAATTCCTAACAGTATTTTTATATATGTTCTAATTTCCTATAACGCATATGTTATAAAACTAGTCAAACATTAACCCGATTTTTGAAACCAGTAATTCTTGTTCCGACAATAACAACAATGGTTTCAAATCCTTTGTGAAATGTAATAAATATGAAATAAATAAAGCGAAATGGTGTTAGTATTACTGTTATTTTTCACCACATCATAACGAGCGTTCTAACGACTCGGGGTGTTGGTCTGATTACGGATCGAGTTGTGGGTACTTTTCTGCAATATATCAAGTTGGACTCCTACGCGTGGTTTGCTTGTTATATATGTTAATACCGTAAATGAGCGAGTGTATAGTGTGTTATGTAACTAAAATAAATGGTCGTTAAGAGCAACGGGTCGGTTTTTTCAAGCATATGAGTCTCCCTTCAATTATAATGAATTTATAATAAAGCTGTTAAGTATTTAAAATGTTTAAAATATGATTTATCTAATATCTAGCTACAAAAACGGCTAACAGTGTTTAATCACTGGCATAGCTAGCCGCGGGGCGCTTTATGATTTTTAAAACAGCTATTGTTATTATTAATATTACTATTATTAAAAATACGGGAGGGAGGTAGTTAAATTAAAATACGGGCTTTTAATAATTAGCTACAAGACCGGGGGGTGGGCAGTCACAATATTATATCTAATTTAAATAAGGGAGCAACAAAGCTGTCAAGTTTTCTGTTCGGCGAGCGACAAAGGTGTCACTTAATGTCAGTTCGCGTAAAACAACTTTGCGATTGTATTTCGAAAAAGCCTACCTCCGATAGTGATCGTAGAAAAAAATTATTTTTGTGATCCTGTATATCTAATCCAAAACTAGACATCGTCAATGTCTTTTTTTACAGAAACTTTTATCAGAAATAAAATTTTCTTTTTGGTCCCCTTCACTGTATTAGTGTAGTCTAATAAAAC